GTATTTGAACTGAATTTGTAATTTTTATGTAGGGGGTGTTTGGTTTTTATTTGTTAAAAGAACCCCAGAATTTGACTGCCAAGAAAATGACTTAAAAATAAAAAAAGAAAAAATGGTTTATTAATAAAACTAATTACTACAAGGATCAGAGTACAAAATCTGTCATACTGGTACCCACAAAGAGTCCAATTTCATACCTTGTAGAAGGTAGGAATCGAACACTCACACTGCAACTGTCAGTTCAGCTGAAACTACCTCACTCATATTCTTTTCACCACTGAGCTGTGCCCCGGGAGTTGGACCAGAGCTTTTAAGAGTTGCATAAATAGTTGTTTCTGCTTAAAAATGATAAAAATTAAAAATGGCCATTGATGAACAAAAAAAAAGGAAAAAATTTAGAATATTTTCCTGCCAGATTTTTAATAGCGTACATTTTTCGACCTTTGTGGTTGCTTACGGCTCAAATAAGCATATAAACAAGTGTTTTTTGGTATGACGAGATGGGTTTTAAATCAGACAAAAAAGAGAGACTTCAAATTAAACAGCTATTTAGTAGAAGAGTGGGATAGTGAGTGGTGGAATTTGCGCTGTAGTGTGTGCTGCTCCAATGACTGTTGCGTTTTGATATTTCAAATTCGAAATTTAACGGACACGATGGCTTTACTCTCGCTCGAGTAGCGTGAGTATTTGCTCATGGTTTCGTGGAAAATTACGAGAATGCACCCGGGTCTGCTCTGATTGGATCCTAAAAAGGTACGACCCATTTATGAAAACTCAAATATAAGCAAACAAAAAAATCTAAGAAGTCAGTGCAGTGAGGAACTATGCTTTATCCTACATTGGATCCCATGTGGGGTACAACCTATTGCATGGTGCCAATGACAGAGTGCTTCCAGAAAAGAACACATGAATCATATTGATCAGAATAATTTGAAACAGAAAATTCAGATTAGAATAAACTTGTGTTAACCTTGTGTTGTTTAAAAGTTGTGTTGTTTAAAAGTTGCCAATTTTTTCAAGGTTTGACAGACAATTACTGTCTTCGAATGTATAAATGTCAATACATAGTAACATTACATTACATGGATAGTCGTGTCAAAACGGGTTGGAATTTTCTGCCGAGAAAAACATTGAGCAACGACTCTGTGGAAAGAGGGCATCTATCACATTTCCTATCTTATTACTACCTCGCAGTTCAATATGTATTGTAAAGCTAAGTTGGGGTATGTAGGCAGTAGATATTGCTTTTGATTTCTGTCTAGGAGGTACTTGAAGCCAGGTCCTTCATCATGTCATACACTGTAAAACCAATAGCAACAGAAGGGACAATCTGGAAATGAAACCACAGACCACAGTTAGCAAAGAAGAACTGAAAGAGATCCAATTAAAACAAACATTTCTACTCGATCTACACAGCCAAACATTTTGACTACATTTTCACCATTTTGTATGGTGCCATGCTAATTTCAATGACAGTAACAAAAAAAACGTAAATTTTTTATCTGATAAGTTACTTATCTAATAGTAATCTTAATAAAAACTTTAATTGTATTTTTTTCTAAAAATTCTCCCTTACCCTCCTGAAGGAGGCTAGCACCCATGCCAATGATCCAGTGAGGCTTGAACTAAGCCTTGGTGTCAAGTGTCAACTTTAAAAGTAAGTTATCAAAACATTATGGAGAAATAATTGTTCTTGGTGTTGGCAAAGTTCCTCAGTGAGAGCTCTAAGTAATTTTTAAATTAATACCTTAATATAATTAATGCTGAGGCCAGCAAACAATTGTCTCCAACCTTGACTTCAAACGATGGTAATGAGCCTCTCAAAGGCACTTCTGGATTTGTCATTGCTTTACAGTGAAGATTGTAGATGTTCAACCTGAAATGGTGATTGGATCAAAAAAATAAAATAAATCTTAAAACACATTGCAGAAATGATGGAATCCGATCTCTAGTGCCGCAATTTTACTTGTATCTAACTCAAAAGAGTTGGATGGTTCAATTGTTAGGGCTTGACTTTGCAACTGTGACAAAATGTTGAAGAACAACTGGGTCCTTTTAAAAAGGTTGTGGACTAACTTGCCACTTGGACAATATGTTAGGGACTAATGGTGCAATTTTCACAAAGTAAGATCAAAATATACCAAGTGCTAAGTAGACGCTAAGACCATGTAAGAACCATCATCTGCCTCCAGACAACATCTAGAGGATAAGTGAAAGTCTGTCCAACTAAACCGGCTAGAGCTCCACAACGCATCAAAATCGACTTTTGGTGCTCTTTGGGAATGTGCCTCTTGAGTTCCTCATAGATGTGAAACTTTAATCCAGCATAGTGAAGAATGCCAATGAGAGTTGGACCTGCTCAAAGAACATCTTGCTTTCCAGGTAAAAGTGTTATTGGTAAAAAACTAAAATCAAACCAAGTATGCGATATTTAACAAGATGATCAACATTGGATAGGACTACACAATATGATTAACGAGATTTTAACATATTTTTATTCGTTAATATTGTGTAACGCTAACTAATCTTTTGTATCAAACATGCCATTCAAAGTCTAGCCAACTATAGATATCAACCAAAACAGACGGCAAGCACTGCATTTCCTAACATACCTTGCCCTGGTGTAACATTTTTGTATCCTGATGAATATGATGAGTTGTTAACATCATAATACGAAGTATTGGTAACACAAAGTATGGCATTCACATGCCTATGCCCCCATAAAGCGCAGCACTGCCCCCACTTTGTAGACTCTCTCCATTACATTCATTATTCCGCTATGAGCAGGCTGAGCTTGAATTCTCATGCCATTTCGCACGCACTGCCCCCACTTTGTAGACTCTATCGGTTACATTCAGTATTCCGCTATGAGCAGGCTGGGCTTGAATTCTCATGCCATTTTGCATGGTTCCTCTTATGTCTACAATCTACATAACAGAACCTACTACATTATTATAAATAGCAAAAGAAATTGCATGGAACTCATTCAACCCATGGGTGAAGACATCGAATTTTCACCTCTTAACCGGCGATTTCACCCGATATTTTCTTAACATTAAGCCGAAAAATTATGCAGACGAAATTTTTTCCCATTCACTTAAAAATATTATGCAGATCTACTAAAAAAAAATTTCTGCTTGTTACCTATGTCGAATCTTAATTTTTCAAGTAAAAAATATACACATTTCAGTATAACGAAATTAAACATACGAAAATATACTTACCGATTCGTAGTAATTGACAGAAAACAATTTTTTCCTTCTGCTATCGATATTTTTGAGATTTTCAGAGTGAAGAAGATGAGAGTTTTTATCTATGTTTGAACTGAATTTGTAATTTTATGGAGGGGTGCTTGGTTTTTATTTGTTAAGTAAAATGGTAGTATTGTCTTTTTAATAAAATCGTATTTTGTATTTGTTTTATTCACTTAAGGACATTTTTTGTTTTTTGAACACCATTAGGTCAATTGGGTAATATTCAAAAGTGGAAAAGTCAAAGTTGAATTTGGCACCTTTGACCTGGCCAATTTTAAAAGAACCCCCAACTTTTTGTGAGATGGGAGAGGGGGCAAGAAGAAAATAGAAATACAAAAACGTTCTCCCCTTAGCTTGTCCGTGGAGCTTGTGAACTCGTCGTAGCAGATAATATCTCGAATAAGAAAAAGGTCAAGAGAAATGTTGTTGATACTTGATACTTTAAAACTAGTGTCGGGATATTTTAAAGTTCATATGGCCTAAAATAGTCCCAAATGGCAAATGCACTTGGAAGGCCTTAATTTTTTTCCCTAAAATAAATTTGTTTATGCTAAATTAATCATGCTACTAGTATAATTAATTTGACAATGTGTAAATTAACGGGCATCATCATATCCATTGATTTGAAAAACTACTTTTGAAATCAATGACAAAGATTTTTACACCTCACTACTTGTCTAGTTACTCATAGAAATTTATTTTCACACCATAATTTTTAACAATTAAACTATATTTTAATCCATGAAAGGCTCATAACCTTTACACATTATAACATTTATGTCTCGAACCTTTTTTTTATAGCATTTTTATTTTCAAATTAACATAAATTGCTTCTAATTATGGTTTCTTTTCAAAATTTTCTTTAAGGTGGAGTAAAAATACTCATTTATCTATTATATCTTTTAATAAGCAAAATAAATAATAATGCAAAAAATACAATTAATAATTGGTTCTAATTTTAAGAGGGTGTTTGGTTGGGATTAAAAATAGATTTTTAGTAGATTGTGATATAAGTTTTTGAAATGTGTGGTTGAAATATATGGTTAATATTGATTATTTGACTTTGATTTAGATTAAAATCAGATTTTAATCCAACCCAAACAGACCCTAAAGTACGTTAACAATATTTTTGAATAAAAATCATAATTAAGAACAAAATTTTCTGATCAATAAAATGTTAAAAATAAAAAATTTGATTGAAGAAAAAAGTTAAGAATATTAATAAGGAATACAGATTAATGACATTTAATATAATTAAAATAAAGTGTGTGTGTGTGTGTGTGTGTTTGTGTGTGTGTGTGTGAGAATATAATTACCCTTTTGTTTAAGATAATTAGCACAAAACGTCCTCATTTTTCCTTGTTATTGTAGAAAATATTCATACCTTTCATTTTTTGACATTTTCACCCCTATTTCGACATTTCATTGCGCAAAAGATCATTTTCACCTATTTTTTCGATTAAAAATTATGAAATGATGAATATACCCCACTCTGTAAAAATAATTGCAACCACATTCCCAAATTTTTTTAAAATTTGCAAAAAAGTCATAAATAAATTATTAAAAAGGTAATTAGTGTATAATGTTCCCATCTTTCACCGTTATTATGAAAAATGTCCATACTTTTCATTTTTTTTTTTTTTTACATTTTTACCCTTAATTACACATTTGATTGCTCAAACCATCATTTCTATCCAATTTCATCCAATTTCTCAATAAAAAATTGTGAAATGACGAATATACCCTCATATTTAAATATAAAGCTAAAGAATTAATTACAATCATATTCGCATTTTTTTAAAAAAAAGTGCAAACAAGTCCACAATAAATTATTAAAAAAAAGCACAAACGATTACAAATTAAATTTATTTAAAAATTAAAAAATTAAGAAAAGCAAACGAGTCTCAAATAAATTATTTAAAAAATTAGAAATTAAAAAATATATTTTTATTTAAATATGATGGTATATTCGTCATTTCATAGTTTTTTATTGAGAAATTGGATGAAATTGAATAGAATTGATGGTTTACGCAATCAAATGTGTAATTAAGGGTGAAAATGCCAAAAAATGAAAGATACGAACATTTTTCGCAATAACGGTAAAAGATAGGAATATTATGTACTAATTTTAAAAAGTGCAAACAAATCCCCAATAAATTATTTTAAAAAAGTACAAACGAGTCCAAATTAAATTTATTTTAAAATTTAAAAAATTAAGAAATGCAAACGAGTCCCAAATAAATTATTAAAAAATTAAAAATATATTTTTTTACTTAAATATGAAGGTATATTCGTCATTTCAAAGCTTTTTATTAAGAAATGAAATAGAAATAGTGGTTTGCGTAATCAAATGTGTAATTAAGGGAGAAAATGCCAAAAAATGAAAGGTATGGACATTTTTCGGAATAACAGTGAAAAATAGAAACATTATGTACTAATTACCCTTTTAATAATTTATTTGTGACTTATTTACACTTTAAAATTTTTTGGAAATGTAGTTGCAATTAATTTTTTAAAATTTTTTTTATTTAAAGAAATAGGTATATTCGTTATTTCATAATTTTTAATTGAGAAAATAAGTGAAAATGACATTTTGCGCAATGAAATATGGAAATAAGGGTGAAAATATCAAAAATAAAAAGTGATAGATGTTTTTCACAATAACAATAAAAGATGGGGACGCTATAAGTTAATAACTCTTGAAATAAAGAACCTAGCTATTTAACTTCTATCACTAAAAACATAAAAATTTCATCTAAAATATTCACATGGATTCCACTTGGGTGTCCCATGCTACCTTTTAACTTGAAATAAACTTTTTCACTTTGCCAAACCTTCTCACGATTTTAAATTGATATTAGGAATCCATATGATATAAATACTCTCACAACAGATTTCGTGAAAAATGCTTAATTTGAAGAAAACATCATTAAATGTAGAAAAACCTATGAATCAACATACAAAAAAATTTATTTTATTGGAAGAATATAATTAAAAATAAATTTTACTTTTTAGAATCTGTAAACGGAGGTCGGTCTTACACTTGGCCATTACTATGTTATGGTATAACATTCTAATAAGTGCGTGCACCAAGTATATACTGGAAGGCACTTAAAACCAACCAATTATAAACATATCTTCCAGTAACATAGCATCTTTCACTAAATAGATTGTTTTGCAATCCATGTACTTATAAATTCATTCCACAAAATAGAAATACACTTGGGCTTTTCTTAAAACTCGTCTCTACTATTACAACATCAATTATAGTGAAAGCTACTTGCATCTTCACAACCCACAACAGTCTACACTTATTTGGCCCAACTAAACTCACAAGCCAATCCTACTCTTGAACCAGATTTGTCTTCCAAGCTTGCGCTCCATAGAAAATCCGCGATAAGCACACACCCACTTACAAACAAAACCTACACAATACGCGCACAACACTACGTTTCCCTCATTCTTGGCAGCGAGTATCAGCAGCAGGACTCGACACGCCAGCTTGTTCACAAAGATCCAGCAAGTCCAAGGTCTGTCGTAACGTAAGAATTTAGAACCATCAGTTCCTATGCTTAAACAAAGATATTGCAGAAGAATGCCATTAGGACTGCACGTTGTTTTCTCAGCTTAAAATGTTCAATTATAAGTAAATAAGTTTTAAACAGATACCTTTTTCTCGTCAATCAAAACCGGAAGAAGTTACTTGTTTTGAGAGTGAGAGTTGTATCTAAAATAAGTAACTTTTTGTCTTAAAAGTATGACGCAAATAAGTTACGCTAAATTGTTTGGAAACAAAAAGTTAATTAAAATTAACTTCTATTTATTTTTAAGCTTAGCCAAAAATCTCATCATCTTACCTCAGGTACAGACAACTCAAGACGAAACTTGGGACCATCATAATGATGCAAAACCGGCCTAAAAGCATCTTCCTCCAAAGGTTTGCAGAGTTTCCTTACACGACTCTTTACCTAATTAAAAGAAGCACCATAGGGTCAAGAATCAAGGCAAGAAAATACAACCCAACATACATGCATATAAGAGCCGATCATCATAGTTCATAAGACTATTTGTTACCTGAGCAGGGAACCTCGACTCGCCTTTACATTTTTTATCTTCCCAAGCAGTAGGGTCAATGTTGGAACCTCCAAAACTCACTGCCTGTACAAAAACAATTCAATAAACATTTAAAAATAGTTTATCAAAAGCTAAAAAGGTCATTCATTAGTTGTGCACCATGACTCAAATCATAACTACATGTTTTACTGCTGATTGGAAGTGTTATCCCTCAAAATATTGTGAAAGCATCCCTCAAAATATTGTGAAAGCATCCCTCAAAATATTGTGAAAGCTAAAGCCACTTTCTGCTCAAGGAAAAGTTAACAGATTCCATACTAGATTTCAAATCCTGGTACATTTGGGATTGATTTCCTTTCTACAGTTGGAACAGCTGGAAACCCATAAATGAAAGTTAGGATTTGTATTTCTTGCAAATCCGAATTATCGAGGGTGAAAGTAAAATTCACAACTTTTCAGTCTACCAAACAAAGAACCCAGGAAGGATCATTTAAATCTAAACTTAAAAAGAATTGTCGAGGCAAAAGCTCACACAGTCTCATCATGGTATCACTCAGATATTGTTGCATAAAATATAAAACAGAAATAGCAATGAACCTCAAAAACACCATGCAACTGATGATTAGTGTAATTGTAGAGGAACAGGGGCAAGCCTGGTGTTATTGCCCTCACAGAGTCTCTATATCTTGGTGGTAAACCTGCAACAGAACGTACAGATATAAGCAGTGCGGATAACTACCAAAGATAATAAAAATGCTGTGAACCATGGATAAGAATGTGAAAATATTTTGACTTTTCCTGTGCAGTTTTAATTCGAATGTGCAAATTAAATTTTAAACCATTTGAAATACACCAATGTTCCTCAAAACCTGGCTTGGATTATTATTAGAACTTCAAATCAGAATATTCATTAATCTTATTCAGATTACCCAACCAAAGGAGTTAATATTTAATAAAGATAATCAATTTCAATACTGCAGTACATAGATACCTCCTGCATTTAAGACACAGATAACTTAACTCCAACTTGAAACAGAAGCACTACTCCCACTAGTTCATAAAATTTGCTTTTACAGTAAAATTAAGTGGCTAGATATCAATAATTCAGGATTTGAAGCATGGTTGAGGCCCACAACTCCCACACCATGCCTCCTATTGAACCCTAAACGAGATGCCTCTCCTGCAAATGCTTTTCTGATCTAAAAGCAAGTTCGGCTAAGCCTAAGAAGATGAGAGACTGAAAGTTACTAGTAACTTCTTGTTTTCAATCATGTTTTGGTAACTTACTTTTAAGTGAGATGAACTTACTTTAAAGTAGCTCTTGTCAAAATAAGTATTCAACTCCTTTTCAACTTAGACGAATTAAAAAATATTTATTTTAAAACTCATTTACCGATAATAAACTTCACAAGCTTAGTTTAACAAGCTCTAAAAAGAGTATGGCCCACTTCTTCGTGACAAACATCTACATTCAATCAAAGATCGACAGTATAATTACCAAATAGTTGTCGCTTTAAATCTTCCTGCATTGTGTCATTGTTGCAAACAAAGATATAGCCACCAAGAACCTCATCCCTAGGAAGAGTCTCTGCCGCAGGCAAAGTCTTAAACCTTTTGTCCACTGCACTGCTCGCATTTGTGTTCTCCTCCTTGTTACTGCTGCTCTTGACAGGCTCCTTGTTGAGGTTGTTATTGCTGTATTTGCTTCCAGCTATATTTCCCAAATTGACATTAGGATTTTGATACACAGAATTCATATTATAGATACCATTTCTAATAGGGCTTTTCGCAATGTTTTCGGACATATTGAAATTAAAGCTTTCAAATTTGTTATCTTCTTGAAATCCAAAATTATCTCTAGGCCTCAATTCAGTAGGACCCTTTGAGAAATCAAGGTTGTTCCTCCTCTCTCCCTTTGACCTTGTCTGCTCAGCCAATTTAGAAGCAGCCATTAACCATTTGTGATCCTCAGAGACTCTTGATTGCCCTCGAAGGTCATCTCCCAACTGCCAAAAGCTGTGGATACTCTCCATGTTGCAGAATCTGAAAGGAAGTATACATAACAGAAAATTGTCGGTTATATTACATCCCACAGGGAGAGTAAAAAAATTCTAGCAAGCAGGTGTACACTCGTTGGTCTACCCGCAATCATTTGAATACTTTCAAATAGCATTATCATGAACCAGCAGGGGCAAAAAGTTCTGCATGCAGAATCAAATTTTATCTAAAAAAATATTTGGCTTAAATGCAAATATAACGAAAAGTAACCAGTAAGATAAACCAGAATTAGCTTTTCCAAACTAGGAGAATTGAACAAGCAAAATCTTACATCCTAAAATTAGAATATACTAATTACATGTTTGGCTTAGCTGAAATGCTACAGAAGTAACGGAAAACTTGCTTTTACTGCCAAAAGAAGACAATTCTTTCAGTGCATTTTGAGTGGAAAAAAAAAATGCCCACCAAAGTGCAGCTTCTTTTGTTTTGTAGACAGAAGCATAGGCAAACATGCTCAGACGCTTCAACTTCTAAGCACGAGGATTTATCATCCAACGTTTAATTTATGGAAACAATCTTCCTAATATTGATTATTCATATCATAAACACGTGTAAGAAAATCAGAAAGCTTTACAATTTCACTACGTAATATAGCTGTAAACCAAAAGCATACCACTGAGACAACTTTGAGGAGATTAAAACCACTATTTCAAGGGAAAATCACACATTTTTCTTCAAAAATCGTGAACAGAAAAGAAAGAAACCTCAGATCAAGCAAACTGAAAAAAGAACAATCAAATAATTTCTACTAACAGTAGTACTTCACTCAAAGTTGACAAGCAGTAGCCAATCAAGCATCGCGAAATGCAAGCACAATTAAAACAATATGAGGGCAACTAACAACGGATTAAACAGTCAACTTATAAATGTATATAGCACCAAATAATTTTCGGTCAACTAGCAAACAAAACTTAAATTTCCAATTTTAGAGTTAAGATACGAAAATCAGGGACCTGATCTAGCATACAAGCACAAAATACTTGCTAGTTTAAAGAACCCTAAATTTCGGGATCCAAAGCTGAGAGCTACTCACCTTTATTTCCTAGGCTGCGAAAACAAAGGAAGATGCGATGTAGGAGAAGAAACTAGAGATTTTCCACTATTTGTATGTAGTATTTGAGTAGAAATGCCATGAGTTTTGCCTTCAATCACAATACTGCCATTGCAGCTGCAAACCCTTTTTCACAGAAAAAGACAGATCCACCTATAATTAAATGGTACTGTCGGTAGAAAGATTACCCCCATGTTAGAGCTCATTTTTCTGAGGAAATTACATGGATACCTCATTTTATAAAAATAATACATCTTAACATTTTTATTATTATATTTACTACAACACTCCAATATAAAGAAAATGTTAAAATAAGCAAAATCACCCATCTAATTTTAGCCCACCCAAAATCACTCCCCAAACAATTCCTATTATAATTCTTTGGGTAATTGGCGCAAAACGTCCCTACCTATGATGGGTTCTGTGGAAAACNGAAAAATAAAAAATAAATTGTAATCTGCTCCTAAACTTTTAAAAAAATACAAATCAGTCTAAACTTATAAAAATATTAAAATTAACAAAAAACTTTCACCCTCTCTTCTCCTCCACCCCATCTCTTCTCCTCCACCTCGCCAACAACGCCGCTGCCGGAACCCTAAACCATTCCATCCCTTGCCATTTTCTCTCAAAAATGGGGCCGAAAAAAAGGTCAAAAACCATTTCTTTTTGAAATTAACCCCCAAGCTTTACCCATCAGAAGTTGACAATGCAAAAACAGAAAATTCTCAGCTAGACATTTGTAATTGAGAATGGGGGTTACGGCGTGATTGCGGACCCGTTGACGTTGTGTTCAAACAAAGCCAGCAAATATGGAATTTGGAAACCCTAGAGAAACATTTCTCAGAACAAAAATTCTCCTTTTTCCATTTCCCCAAAATTCTTCAGCTTTCTTAATTTAATTTTCAAATTTGTCTCCGTATTCGGGTCAAATTAATCATATTTGAGCTCTACGATAATCATTGGCTGCTTCGGCTGGGAGAAATTCAAAAAGAGACTGAAGGTAAGCATTTCTTTTTGTTTCAGTTTTTTATGAATTCTTTATGGGTTTATAAAACTGGGTTCATGAGTTTTTATTGATTCTTTTTGCTTAGCTGCCTATATTTCTGCGGTGGGATTTTATTTGAAGTAATATTTGGAGCTTTTGGAGCTTTGACTTTTGTTGGATTTATACATATTTGGATCGACGTTTTAAGAGTTTATGCATGACTGAATAAAATTTTGAGCCGTGTTTATTTTTCATAGTTCGATTTCAGGTTTTGATTTGTGTTTTTTATTCATTTGATGTTTAGTGAGTTGGTTTTGGTATAAAGTGCGAATCAGAGTGATTTTGGGCTTTCTGTTGGAGTATGAATATAGGGAAGCCTGCTGGGAAGAAGAAAATTCAAATAGGATCAAAATCCATTGACGGAAATGCGAAACAAACCAAAGCTCAGAAGAGAGAGTGAGAGTTTTTGTTAATTTTAATATTTTTGTAAGTTTGGATTGATTTGTATTTTTAAAAAAAGTTTAGGAGTAGATTGCAATTTATTCTTTATTTTTCTTTTCTTTTCTTTTTTGTTTTATTTATATAGGAGGGTATATTGACCATTTTATGTTAAAAATTGGTGAAAAAGACGTTCAGNATTGTCATTTTATGTTAAAAATGGGTGAAAAGGACGTTTTGCGCAAGAAAATGCAAAGGTAGGGGCGTTCTGCACCAAAAAATCAAACGTAAGGATGTTTTCCACAGAATTCGTCATAGGTAGGGACGTTTTGCACCAATTACCCTAATTCTTACTACATAATTGATATTCTCCAAATCTCATTTCTCAATACATACCCAAAATCTTCCAAATTCAACCTCTTCTCAATTATTGTCCAAAAAATCCTTCAAGTTCTTGTTAGTCAGAATCTAGTGATTTTTCCCAACCCGATTTTATAAATGACGGTCAAAAATGTAGTTCGTCCTAAAATATGATTAAAATCACACTATTTTTTTTTTTTTTTTTTGGGAGCAAAAGTGATCCCTCATCGTGCATTGGTCTCTTTGCCACTCACGACGAATCACTCTACCACCCAAAGACTCTGCATTACAAAATTTCTATCCAATTACAATTTTTGAATCATATATCTCAAGTAAATTCTCTAATCATTCAATTATATTGTACAAAAAAAAAATCAGTATTCGAGCTAGATCTCATTTCCTTTCTAAACAAGTTCTAAAAGTAGTTTTTTTTTTTCTTCAATTTTTTCACAGGTTAATGTATATGTCGTGCTAGTTGCTTTGGGATTTGGTTTAAATGAAAATGGAGGAAGTAAGTTCATCGTCTGCTAATACAACTTAAATTCCTTCAATTCCCATCCAGCAAGATCGCTCCAAAGGCTAGTTTTCATTCTTTCTTTGAAACGTGTAGCCCTCAAAATTGCGAGAAATTATTTGTGTACGTATTATAGAAGTATGCTATTTGAATTTCACGCGTTAGTCAAATTGGATTGGAAACAATTTGAGTTATTACTGGAATGGGAAGTGTCCTAAAAAATTGCAAAATAAAATAAAATAAAATTATTTGATGTAATATTAACATCTGCAGTTTATATCAATATGCAAATTTGAATTTTATGTGTTACGCAAATTGGAATTCAGACAATTGGCATTTTAAATAGTGGAATTTCCTATCCTCAAAATTTGCAAAATTAATTAATTTGATGTATATTAACAGATGCAGTATCGATCAATATGCAACTTGAATTTATGTGATAGGGAAATTGGAATTTCAGACAATTTGCAATGTTTGTATGAATAGTTATGCTTTTAGATTTTGTTTACAGTCGATTTTGGTTGGGTAATATAATTGAATAAGAAACGTTCAGCAACCCATCATGTACTGCAGTACATTACATATAGTTCTACAACATGCATGTACAGATGTTTTAATCACATCTCGTTTCATGCTACATGTTTCAAACCATTCATATCATCTCATGTTAATCACAACTAAACACTATAGGTAGATGAATAAGTAGTTAAAATGTACCAGCATGACAACACATTACGCAAATCCCAAACCGTGGATGTACATTAGCTAAAAATACATATAGTACGACGTGAGATATGTAATTCTCTCTAACATTTTATCTAATATAATGTGAATCACAATCAAAACACTTATCACGCATACGACCTTGATATATCCATTATGGATAAGAAGATACTTTACAATTTTTTTAGACAGCGTTAATGGTTCAATAACTTTGTCACTTAATGTCATGTACGTCATTTCTTTGTTGTTTACCGCTGTCTTTTATTCAAATGGTATCAGTGCATGATAATTGGTTTATGAAGTTTTTTTATTCCTGATTTTTAATTTCATATCCTAATATCTAATTACAACATTTCTTACATTCCACCCAGACATGACTACGGTTATGTGATTAAGTACATTGAATTCTTCATCAATCGGACAACATACTTTACGACGTAAAAGTTCGACCCAAACAGATCAAGAGATCAACACAACCACACTGGTCAGGGCATGAAGAGATTGCATCTAATAGACGGGCACTGTCAAATTGTTTCTCAACATGTGGGTCAAACTTGCAATCCTATTGATACTTCTGTAGTTTTCTTTGGGCATTGTTGCTTTTCTTCGTCTCTTCTACAAACCCTTTGGCATCCAAAAACACAAGCAAACAAAATCATGAACAAGCATTAGAGATTAAATTTTGCTAAAAAGTAAGAGGCATAGCACACTAAACATCATACACATACCCTTTTTTTTTCTTTAGGGTTACAAGTTCTCCTCAAAGAGAATATCATTGGTAATTTAACGATTTCAACTAAAATAAACTGTGCATGCTATTGTCCACATGAAATTGTCACTTACTTTGATACATTATGATGCAGATCAAAAATAATTTATATCACACACGTATTGACGAATTTTGTGATGGACTTAATTATCAGATTCATTGTCAATTTCATCATAACACGGTATGTGAAATTACCTTAATTTTGACAAAATTCGTTATAGAAGAAATTCCAATTTGAAAAAGTATCAAATATGTAGTAGGAATCGAGGAAATATGATGTATGAAACTTGAAAATGATGACCAATCCCAAACAAAATTATATCACAAGTGATATGGCAACGATTTGTGTGAGACGCATTTAATACAAGGTTAATGTATGCTCTTATTTAAATTCCGGTTACAAAAAGGGTTGAGGAGTAATTTTAGGAACTAGTATTTATAAATATATTTTATATATTAATATAGTATATTAGGTGTGTGTGTGTATATATATATATATATATCATATTGTAGTATTTTTGGATATTTTTTTATAGGGTATATACAATTTCTTCCCTTTTTTAATTTATTTTAATTGTACATTTTGTCATTTTTCTAATAAAAAATAATTTTTAACAAAATATTTTGCCCCTATTTGGTAGGAATTAAAATATAAATTTTAATTTAAGTTAAAGTCAACGATTAATCTTAACCACATATTTTATGGGTCTCACAACTTTTTAACCATACATTTCATCAGCTTCTATCAAAATTTTACTAAAAATATGACTTTAGTCTTCACCAAATATGGGTCAATTTTGTAATCACACATTCTTTAAAAAAAATAACCTTTTTTTATAATATATATTCTTGAGGCTTGAACAAGAACAAAAATTAGTGTTTTTATTCTTTGAAATTTGTAAATTGGGTCTCCTTCATTATTATTGAAAGTTAGGCCATGTTTGAGCCTCTTTTTTTCAAAATTCATTTTCAAAGTTAATGGATAATTCCCACATCAAATAAAAATAAAAAATATGGATCAATATATAAGGGTTTTAACTATTTCTCTTAATAAAATTGACATTTTAAGATGGAATCACAAGTTTTAATATGGTATCAGAGTCCATTAAACTCCAACGAGTAATTCGATTCAATATATGATTTGCTTAAACGACCCACATGTTGCGGGGACATGTTAAATGATAAAATCTCACATTGAATAAATATGAAAATATAGACCAATATATAAGAATTTGGACTACTTCTATTAATAAGGTTGGCCTTTTAGGTTAGAGAACTTCATCCTCCAATCACTTGTTAGACAAATAGAAGATCCATTTTGATTATGAGAATGAGAAGATAGAGATCCTACTTCTTCAGAAGCCTTCTCTAGCACACCTACTCCTCAAAGAAAAATGACTTCTTTGAATGAACTTGATTAGTCGAGTAAAATTGATGTAATTTAATTTTATTTTATTTTATTCAGTTTCCATTTTAATTATATTGGAGATGATTTTCAGCCAGACCAATCAGGATGTGTGCAGTTGTTGAGCTGTCGTTTGGTGAGGAACATAAAGTTTCCGGGGAATTCTATTTGATTTCCTCAAGTGCTTAGTAAGTTTAAATTTTTCCCTTTGGAAGGTTGTTATGAATATTCTCTCAACTAGCCATGATTTGAGCCGGCAACATATATATTGATATCAAAATGAAACTTTCAAAAACGAGAGACAGGCAGCCAGTCAACTCCGTCTCTCAACTATGTCCTTTACAATGTTAGATAACTCAACATTTGATAGTTACTGGCAGTTCAATAGTATTATAGGTGATCAAGCACTAAATTA